ACTCAATCGGGTGGGAGTGTTCGGGGCCAAGATGGTATAGTGGCCCTCTTGCAGGTCTTCATTCAAGCTTGGTGTATTGCGTTCAGGTCGCCAGCGATGATGAAGTTCCCGCACCTCCGGGTGAGTTTGATGATGTCTTTCCGAAGGCCACTGACGACCCGTACCACTGCCCTCTGTTAACAATTAACGGAAGGAAGTGTATGCGTAATTTCTGATAGATGTCACAATTAAGACCAGCAATGACATCTGAAGGAAAATTAACGTAGAAGCATGGTAATATGATTAATTGGCGCTGACGGCACGGTCGAGAAGTTGTCTAGCAAATATTGACAGATTCATATGGAAATTTACTTGAAATAACTTGATAAAATTGACAAATAGCAGATTTTTAGCGATGGCCCAATCTTAGATCCATAGGCCAACATTAGAGCCATGTCCCCTATGTAATCTGGAATTTATAAAAACTAAATCCAAAATATATCAAATTTTCACGAAATTCAAAAGAATAAAAATAAGCGAAATCCCAAAATTTTTGTTTTTTTTTTCATTATTTTATCTAGTTCGTTCATTCGTAAGGCTCAATCGCGTTAGCCTTACGGAGCCGATAGAGCATTTGAATCCGCTTGTAAAAGCATATTAACAGATTAATTATCTGTTTTTCTATCAATCCTTTATTGAATTTGAATTATTTCTATGGGTATGCACGTTTGGAAAGTATCAGCACAAAGATTCTGCACTCGGTTTAGAGTTTTTGGGCGGAAAGTGTTGTTTTTTTTATCTATTTATATACTCAATTCGTGGAAATACGAAGCGAAAGACGAATCAAGCACAAGACTTTCAAGAAAATTAACAACACGGTGTCTGAAAATGGCAATGTTTTATTCAAAACGTCAAGTTTTTCAAGAATATCGGGTGAGACCAATCTGATTTTTGTGTTGTACGATATTCAATTGAAGGCTATATAATATTTTAAGCATTTTTCTTAAATTTCTCATGTATCTCAATACATGGGTTGATTTTTATTCTTTTTTGTATACGGTGCTTAGAATCTAGACGAGCGCGCTAAGTGAAGTATTGTCAGTTTTAACTAGCTTAAATTTGATTCAAAGCAGAGCAGAGCTCTCACTAATGAATTCTGAATAACTCATTCAAATTTCAAATTATTTCTAGCTTACACATTTCATATCATTTTGTAGCATCGTGACCAACTCAACTCAATCCAAAAAAAAAATATCACAAGAAATTGCGAGTAGCTGAGTGGAATGGAGATAAGTTAAGCATTGGGTACAGGACCAAGTCTCCCCTGGGTGGTGCCAAAAGATGAGCGCAATAGAATCATCAAGTTGCCATAAGGCACGGAATGAGACTATTGCATGGCTGGGTAGTCAAAGTCTTCCATTCGTTAGTCATTTCAGGAGGATTAGAGCAGGTTTAGGTTTAGGGTGGGCGTTGGCCAGATTTGGATTTTTCAGATGTAATCCTGGATAGGACCCTGTCATTGAACGTCGCGTGAAAGTAGAACTTAATGAAGGCCTAAGTACTTTTTCGTAGTTTTTAGTTTTCGGATTTGAAAGATCGTCGGTTACAGTGGCCTGCTTACTGAGCAGAAAAACGCGGTCCCAGGTCCTTACATATCAAAGAGATTTATGGTAAAATCGCTTGTGTATCGTGTATTTTGCGAAACTCGTTGTTGTCGTTGGTTCCGGGTTTGAATGGATACACAAATTTGAGCAACGGTATTATGTGATATGAGGGGCTCGGTGGCCTTAGAGCAACCGTTTTTGCTTACTGAGCAGAACATCATGAGTCTAATCTCAGGCCCATCCCCATTCAAGATTCGTCAATCGTTTTATTTGTTAATATGACTACATGGTAATAACAGCAACTCGGTGATTAAAAAGGTGCTCGTCTGCCTAGTGGCAAACGTTTTTGCTTACTGAGCAGAAGACCGTGGGTTTAGTCCCAAGCTCCTTCGCGTTATATGATCGTTAGGACATCAATTCAGCTTATCGTTTAGCAAAACGAACCCTGCTGCAAACCCAACATCCCAGTGATTCCTCGTGGAAGTGCAGAGGTGTTCTCGGCTTCCATCAAAGCGAGTGTCATGTCAACACAATCCTTCCCATTCCTTTCTTGACCTGTGTTCGGGCGCGGCCGGCGCTGGTATTGCCTAATTTAAGATCACCAGTTTTTACACATTGAGGATGATTGCTAGTCCCAAGCATCGTCTATTGGTTCTCTGTGTAATTACAGCTGATCTGGCAGTAACAGAGTAGCAACCGTGGGCGGTCAATCAAGCTCAAGCTCAAGCTCGTGACCAACTCAATCCAAAAAACATCCAACCACCTACCTCAATAAATCTTCCCATGGCGATCATGTAGCCTGCATGTGGCGTGTCAGCCATCAATAATACTCCGTTTTACGGTATCAAAGCACCAACATTAACTTGAAAATTTTACAGTTGAATAAATTGGTCGCCCGTCAATGCAACATTTCCTAACACGGACATTAATTCTAGATACCAACACAGCGCTAGTTAAACAATATTCTTCCATTAATAGAGCCGAGTTGAGTCATCCCGCATATTTATTTATCATATATGTTTCGGAACTAGCTGCCATATTCCACGCAGTAGAGCAAATTGCTTCACTACCTTCTGACCATTGTTTTATTTTTACGGATAGTCTTAGTTCATTGGAGGCTATTCGTTCAAGAAGGCCGATGAAGCACTCCTCGTATTTCCTGGTTGAAATACGATCTAAACCGAGTGCTTTATCCAACTGCTCCTATAAACTCACCTTAGCTTGGGTCCCATCTGATTGCTCAATTTCGCGTAACGAGAAAGCGGACTCGTTGGCTAAGGTGGGCGCTATGGAAGGCGATATTTTTGAGTGACAAATTACCTTTAACGAATTTTCCTCCATTGCTCGTCAGCAATTCCTGATCAGTTGGCAACCAAAATGGATTGATGGTGATTTGGTAATATGGTTGCATTCTATTCTCCCACAGGTGTCGAACAAACCATGGTTCAAAGGGTTGGACATGAGCCGTGACTTTATACGCGTTATGTCAAGGCTTATGTCCAATCACTGTTCGTTAGACTCGCACTTCTATCGAATTGGGCTCTCAGGCAGCAATTTATGTACGTGTGTCAGTGGTTATCATGATATCGAACATGTTGTTTGGTCACCTCTACACCGTGTTGTCAGATCTGAGCTATCCACATCCCTCAGGGCCCGAGGAAAACAACCCGTTAGAGACATCTTGGCGAGCTGAGATCTCGACTATTGCAATTTAATTCATGTGTTTTTAAAACGGATAGATCTGAGGATTTAGTAGTTAGTGTCATCTTATGATCCCCCAAGTTGTTAGCTGCCCATCGGTGTACCCCCTTGTTTGTCTTTTTCATCAGTTTGTCGCTTAGTTCGAGATGAAGAGTACATTGCTCTCCAAACCTTGTGTTCTTAATCCCTACTCTGCCATCAATGTATTACAATTTGTTACCCCTAACTTTAAGATAGCGGGGAGTAATCGGCCCCGCTTTACTAACGTTAGTTTTAAGTGATTTTGTAATCTAAACAATGAATATCGACTCCGCAAAGCTACGGCAAATGAGCCTGCATTATAAAAAAAATATTATTTCCTATAAATTTTTACGGTTACCCTTCTTCTTTTGAATATTACGTCTTAACATGAATTTTACGTCGGCCTAGATTTAGTGTTCTAAGGCTGTGTTCCATTTGGTGAATTTTCACTTAAATTTGACTCTTCGAAAATAAATTATAATGCTCGAAAATCCCTCTGTTGTTGATCGTCTGATTTTCGAGAAAGTGTTTGTCAAAATGTATTCCTGGTCTATCAGAAATAAGTAGCAGGTTTATTTGAAAATTTTCCATGTGTCAAGTTTAAGTGAAAATGTGTCAAATGGAACACAGCCTAAGAGCACTTGCACAGTTGCTAATTGGGTTCTTTAGGGGTATTGAGGTAATTGCATATTCGTAATCTGCATTACAAATGGAATCGAAATCCAAAATATCATCAATTTTGGAGCACTGGAACTATTTTAAATAAGTGTGACTACATTAGCAAAAAAAAACACCATCTTTGCGCCCGTCGATGGTACTTCGTATCAGGGGTGAACGAGCTGTCAGTTTGTTAGTTTTGTGTCAAACAGTGAAGTGATTATTTTGCTTTAAATCTTGATTTAAAAATTGAGATGATGTATGAAAACCGACATATTTTTCAAAATTAAAGAACCCAATTGGGAGATTTTTAAGCCTGTGCCATTTTTTGCATTAGGATATATTGTGTGGAAAACGCAATGATACTCTAAACCGGATAATTTCTAAACCGGACCATTGCCAAAAATGAGTACCGGCACGAAAGCAACCCTTCACTGTAATCAGATACTCTCTGCTCTGCGGCGTAAAAATCATAGCCGAGTAGAGATGTGCAGCGCATGAATGAGCGAGACAGCTTACGGGTCGGTTGATGCTTTTGCTCGTTGGCTGAGGCTGACGGATGATGGCTTCCGCGCTTGTTGTAAATGAACGGTATCTGTGTAGTGTGAGTGAGATAGCGCAAGGCCAAATACACGCACATCAGTCAGTCCGTCAGTCTCATCAGCAGATATAGGAAGGAGCAGTCGGTAGCTGGCTGCTAGGTAGGGCAAATAATATGGCGATTGACTTTCTTCCTTCCACTACTGCTGCTGTGTAACCATTTTCGCGTGTTCTGGCTGTTGATGGAAGGAAAAATCCGGAATTTCACAATAAAAAACAGGAATACGTGCCCGCGAATCGATCCTCCATCGGTGAAAACATTAGCTTTCGGTGTGTTATCTGAATGTGAGCTTCCCTTGTTGTGCTCTTTGTGAAAACTAGTGTCGATATAATAACCATTTCCTAAGATCAGTGTGCTAATTAGTGATTTTCTCCTCTGTGCTTTTTTCCTCTTGAACAATTCGTTGGGAAATTGGAAAACCACCCATCACCTCACAGATTAATCCTGCCGATAGTGGTACCGAAATAAGAAAGCGCAGGAAAATCGAAGTGGTGCAAAAAATGCAGGGCCAAGTTCCCGGCACACAGACGGCCCAGCCACCGTCAGTGCAGCAGATCCAGGTCCAGACCCAACCTCAGACGGTGGTCATACAACAGCAAGCAACGCCACAGGCAATCCAGGTTCAGGTCCAACAGCAGCAAGTCGTACAGAACAATGCTAAAATCGATCAGAGCCAGCAGTTGTCATCAGTCGGTAAGTCTCCCCTGATTTTATTTCTCCCCTAATCATGGTAATTCAAACAATCCTCGGGCACAATTAGAAAAGCTTGACGGTGGAATGTCGTAGTCAAAATTAGTTCTAATGCTATTTCAATTTTCCCGAAGGAGCTTGTTCCATTCAACCATCTTACGATGATTGTTTGCGTCATGCTTATTCAATATTTCAAAATGTTTTTTTTTATCAAATTCCTCATAATAAAGATGGAATCATATTCACCATACCTACCTAGGTATAAGTCTACTGTTATGTTCATTGAAACGCGATTGCGCTCCGTCAACTACCTACCTATACAGCTTTTGTGTATCGTTTTATGATACAAATTCGCTTGTTGGTTATGGTTTGACGCTGCATAATTCGATATGACGGTATGGCGTGGTTTTTAAAAATAGAATGTCAATTGCGAAAGCAGCGGTACTTACGGTTTAGGTAGTAGTGTACGCAATCTTGGTCGTGTCTATTGAGTTTTGGAATTAATTTAGATTTAAATCGTCAGGATGGGCTCCTGATTGAAGTCTTCTCCATACGGATTCTTGATTTGGATAATGTACCCAGTTTCTTCTAATATAATTGTATTACAAATACCGTTACGATAGCAACTATCAGTGCGTTATTTTTTTATAATAAATGTTCATTAATTTAATTTCCAGTCTGTTTGTTTTCATTCAGAGGGAGTAAATGTACATTTTTTACTTTTGAGATGTCATCACTAAATTGTATAGGGAAAACTTATGTCTCAACTTTTTCATGACGTTTACCACCTTTATTTTCATTCAAAACAAACCGCCCAGTAAAAAATGGTTTGTAATATCGTATCGAAAACTATACATTGCAACCAAATCGCATGTAATTTTACATCGGCTCGATGTATAAATGTAGCGGGTAATGTAACAATTTTCAACCGGTCGCATTGGAAAGGAAGTTGACAAACATATTTGAAAAATCTTGGTTTGCTACATTAATTTCTATGGCTGTGTCAGGGAGATTTGCTTTCACGATCGACACAGATTCCACACAACCAAAAGCAATTTTCTCTTGATCATCAGTATAGGTGCTTGAAAGTGATGTCTTTGTTAGAGAAAACATCACATGGCTGCCATACTTCCACGCAACTTAGGTATCATTTCGATGATTTCTCGAGCTAGTTTCGATTCAATTAAACAAATTTGCGCGAGTTTCGGGTTCTATTTGAGTGTGAAAATTTGAATTCTTTAGGGGATTTTCCTTATTAAAAAGTTGTTAGGATTTTCCTTCTTCACTTTAGTTAATTCACGGTGCGCGCCGGTTGGTTCAGTTGCCCATAACTGTTTTTCGAGATCACATTTTGGGATCTTTAAACCATTTTTTGTTCTATTTTCAAGAAGCATGAAAAATGCGCACAATGGGCTTGTGAGTTTATACAATTTCTTGAAGTGGCAATCGCAATTAACGGAAGATGGGAACCATATATTTTCGATCAATAAATGTCACTATTGGTCCCTTCTTTATTTTTTTAAAGTCACTATATGGTCATTATTTTCGTTATTTTAGTCACTAATGTCATTACTATTAAATCACATACCCACTACCAGCCCGGCCTGTGTAACAAAGGTTCTATGCACCTGCCTGGTGGATCAATATGGGTTTTAAAATATAAATTTAGACGACACGCGCCGAGTGGGTGGCCGAAGGTCGTTGGTTCAAGGCCACTAGACATGACATCAAGTTGAAAATTGCATTATGTCCTAGGTAACTTTGACAGATTCTCTTCGTCGACTTTCTCTTTGTATTCCCACGGCCATGTTAAGACATTCCCAGGTATTTTAAGCACACTGATCGGTAAAAGAAGCTTTTATCTAGCATCTAATACGACAAACACAACAAGAAACGGTTGTGTGCTCAAGTCATTAAAGAAAGAGAAAGTCGACGAAGATAATCGATCAATGTTACTTAGGACCTAATTCAGCTTGAAATATTCGTGGCTTTGATAATTTTTTAATAACGTTCACCACACGTATCCTATGTATGGGGCTTACCATTCCTGCTGACAAAGTTCCACCTCTGCATTTCTCTTAAGTAAGTGTCCAACTAACACTCCTTAGTATGTCCACCAGTTGCTGTAAGGATGTGGCCAGCACAGTGCTCTCTAAGGCGAGGATCACAAGAAGCATATTGAGCCAATTCAATTGCACACTAGCGCTACGTAGTGAGAAAATTATGAACTGCTGTCCACCAATCAATACCTTGACCTACTGAACAAACTTGCCGAACATTGCCAACATGGCAAAGATCCCAAGATATAGCAAATTCAGGAAATTCATTTCCGCACTAGCGCCGCGTGGTGAGAAAATTTTGAACTTCTGACCACCAACCAAAAATCCTTGATCGACTGAAAAACTTTACCTAAGACATAAACATTATATATGGCCAGGATCCTAAGGTATAGGGTAAGTGATCCAGGCTTTAGCCCTATCTTAAATTTCAATATTTTTCATTCTTTTCCTAATTTATTTCCATGCAAGGATAGAGCATAGATTTTGGCATATATCTACGCGAATAAAACCATAAATATTTATTTAAAATTTTAGTCAGACCCTAGGGTAAAAAACTAGAGCATTAGTGCCACAAATGGCTCACTTACCCTATCATATTCAGAAAATTCACTTTTTAACTAGCGTCGCGTTGTGAGAACATTCAGAACTTCTGTCCACCAACTTAAAGTTCTTGACCTACTAAACAAATTTGCCGAAGACTTCTTCTTCTTCTTCCTCGCATTTCAAGCTTATTGCGTATGGCATATTAGCTTATTACGTGTTCTCAACTTAATGTTCTAGATGCACTTCCACAGTTATTAATTGAGAGCTTTCGATGCCTGTACCATTTTTGCATTAGTATAATTATTGTGTGGCAAGTACAATCATACTCTATATGCCCAGGGAAGTCGAGAAATTTTCCAACCCGAAAAATTCCTAGATCGGACTGGGAATCGAACCCAGCCACCTCCAGTATGGTCTTGCTTTGTAGCTGTGCCTTTACCGACTGAGCTAATGGAGGTCCCAAGGGAGGTTGCCAAAGACTGCAACCTTCTATATGACCTGGATCCCAAGATGTGTCATATTCAGGAAATTCACTTGCACACTAGCGCCGCGCAGTGAAAAAAATATAAACTTCTGTCCTCCAACAAAAAGTCCTTGATATACTAAACAAGCCTGCCAAATACTGTAAACTTCTACATGGCCAGGATTCCAAGATATAGCATATTAATCGGATACACCTTGAATAGGGGAAATGGATGTAATATCGACCTAAATACCCCTAATTTGGGCCCATACATAAATTCAGCAATCGACTGAATTTGCAATAGCGACCAAAAATATCCATTAGTATCGTTCCAATGACGCGTTCATATAGATAAAATTGATAAATAGCAGATTTTTAGCGATGAGCCCAATCTTAGATCCATAGGCCAACATTAGAGCCATTTCCCCTATAATTTTTGTGTGAAGACAACATATCAAGAAGACTGACAACTCTTCCGTTTTCTCTTGCGACTTGTAGTGGTAAGCGTGATTACCTCTCACCCCAGCAGGCCTGGGTTCAATCCCAGTCGGCACCGCCGGGATGTTCTGAGGCATAACATCTTTGATCACGCCTTCCTTCGGATGGGAATTAAAGCCGTTGGTCCCAGGTTCATGAGTTTGTAGGGTCGATAGGTAGGGTCCAGGTGTGGGAGCTGCCTTCCTGGCGCGTCGGTAGCATTGGTGCTCAGCACGGAAAACAAGATCGACGGAAAACAAACCAAAGGAAAAAAAATACCTTTGCGTCGTATGAGAAAATGGAAGAGTTACCAGTCTTCTTGATATGTTGTCTTCGTCTAAAGGCTTAATAAATTGTGGATTACGCCTAAGTAAGGGTACCTATTGAGCAGTTCCAGTTCCGTGATTGTTTGTTATGCTTGACTCACATTTTTATTTTTTACTAAAATTTGTCCATTTTGGATCTTGTAAATTTTTTACAAAAAATTGTGGCATGGAAATGGCATTTCCGGATCGAAATAACGTCTAAGGGGCTGACAACGTTGACAGTTTAGGAGGGGAAGGGGGTGGTTGTTTGTTGGCAATTATGCATGGCAATACAAATTTTAAAAGGGGGGAGGGGGCAAGTTACCATGAAGTTGCACAAAAAAGGTCAAGGATAATGCAGTGACACCACGGCTATATACTTTGTGCGGCTAAGAGCTTGGTCACCGAAATAGCCGTTGCAAATCACCGGTGACAGACATTGGTTGTTATGGTGAGGTTCTATTGATTTTTCTTCCTAACCAACGCACGACATTCCACGTTCTTTTCACGCTTATCCTGCTGCATTGGCTGCATTTACTCGTTGTTTGTACCCCTTTGTAGCATGTGTGGTAAAACATCCTGTATTGCCACATAGTGCTAATATGCTTGGTTGAAGGGTTGTATGGTTACATGATGATGATTTTTTATTTTTATGTTGCCACAACATATGAATGCACTTTATTTCGATTTCAGGTCTACTAGAACTGGCACATCGCGAATACCAGGCGGTGGATTACGAAAATGCCGAACGACACTGCATGCAGCTGTGGCGGCAGGAAAGCAACAACACCGGCGTCCTGCTGCTTCTGTCGTCGATTCACTTCCAGTGCCGACGGTTAGACAAGTCGGCCCAGTTTTCGACACTGGCCATCAAACAGAATCCCCTCCTGGCCGAGGCGTACAGGTGAGTTCGTGCAATCCTCTCATAATGTATTGAATATTTTCGACGTCGGAGCCGGGCCGGAGGTAGCTTTTATTAGAGTTTAGTGGAATAAATTTAACCAGCTACAGGAAAACGAATTCTAGGCGGCCATGGCGTCTAGTTCATCGATCGAAGTCCTACTTTGTTATAAAAACACCAAAGTCAACCAAACTCAGTGAATGCCAATCATGTCGCGTTGTTTTTACAGTTCCGCTTTTTCTTACCTTACCTTCTTTTCTTACCGGCCCCTACTCACGACACAAATCGTTCTCGTTTCGTTCCCCCCAACATTCATTGTTTTCAAATTTTACAGCAATCTGGGCAACGTGTACAAGGAGCGTGGCCAGTTGCAGGAAGCCCTAGAAAACTATCGCCATGCCGTTCGCTTGAAGCCGGATTTCATCGATGGCTACATCAACCTGGCAGCCGCGTTAGTAGCAGCTCGCGACATGGAACAGGCGGTCCAAGCCTATGTCACAGCGCTCCAGTACAATCCGGTGCGTGTGCCCTGCCAAGATTTCCGGAACTTTTTGCACTGATTGACGTGTTTTCCCATCTTTTTTAGGATCTCTACTGCGTGCGGAGCGATTTGGGTAACCTGTTGAAAGCGCTCGGCAGACTAGACGAGGCCAAGGTAGGTCGGATTCAGGGACCAGCGAGCAAACAGCGGTTTGTCGTGGATTTATCGTTGATTTTGTTTTTGTTATTGTTTATGTGTGACATACTCTGTGTGGATGAGATTCGGTCTATTAGTACTCTGATTGATTTTGATAATGCATGTTACTTTTAACAGTACATCCGCGAGAGAAAAGGATCGTTCTGCTGTGGACTCGTCCTTGAGCTGTCCTCAATTTCTGTGAATATACTCAATATAGTGTTGTGCCTTATGTTATTATATACGCGTCGGGCGAGAGATGATGTACTACCAACAACTGGACCGAGCGAGGAGAGGTAGGTTCGTGGCAAGGTTTACCTTTTACCAGCACCTGTTTTCTAGTATGTTATCAGTTTGAAGTTAGATTTTCTGATAGATAAGCTGCGGGACAAGTTCACAGTGTAATGCCACCTTTTCGCGTTAATCCCGTTATCAGTTCGGCACAAGTGGAGTGAATGGGAATTTCTGAGCGCGATTTATTCTTCTGTTCATTTTCTGTCACATTCGAAACCTTCGCTTTGAGTTCATTCACTGTTCATTCTAAACGGGTTTTCAGTGAGAGCAATTCTTTTTTGTTTCGTTTCGCTACCAACAAAAATACTGATCGAATTCTCGCCTAAATGATTTCAGCGTATTTCGTCGCAACATAGAGCTAATTTGATTACAGCTTAACCAGGTTGGAATCTTCGGCGCGAGAAAGCCATAGACAAGGGCACCGACAGACCGTCCCATCTGCGAACAACAGTCGCACACAATTCCGGAGTCGCCGATTGGCCCCAAACAGCACCTGTGTGTATTCGATTGACAGTATAGAACATAATATTGACCTAAGTTAAGACCCAATTGGAGCTGTTACAAGGCGACAGGTAAAGTAACGTGTTTGGCTGGAATTGACTCTCCCCTACCCGACCGCCTGAAACCCCTTTCAATTTACAGATAAATCGATGCTTCCAAAAGGTAATAATTTGAGCAGAAAATCTCCCACTTGTACACAAAGAAATGCCCTCACAGTAATAAGATTATTGTGACTTCCGCTTTCGGCAGAATCGATTTTTCTCTTACCCTCTCCATCATTCCATCCCATCCCGACCCCGGTCAGTCAATCGAAGGCCAAACATGACTGAATGCAATTTCTTTTTCTATATATATATATATATATCCCACATATATCTACTTGCGTTTATTTGTCGACTCTGAAGATGCAACCCCTGGAACCAGCTGTCAGTCGAGCTATTTACTAGATTAGAATCGCTTCTCCCCGTAGTGATGCCTTTTGTTGGTCAATTTATAAAAAATACCGGCAAATTGGAAATGTCCAACTCAGGCAAACAAAACGCATCATCGGAAGTTAAGTGGTCATTCGATAGGGAAAACACATTCCGCAGTAGTATGGATGAATATTTTAACCTCAAACGAGAGGATTTAAAACCTTCAATCATCGCTGCGAAAGGTGAACGTTTAATCTCTTTATTTGGCAGAGAAGTCTCTCACACGGGTTTCCTTGAACACAGTTCTGTTGTTGCTATTCAGTTCCGTCCAATACGTTTGCCAAATTTGGTTGGTTGTCGGTTGAGAGCCGGTTGACCACAATCATATCGTCGCAGTTTCGGGCGGAAGGTTCCATTTGATCCGACCCTAGCCATTCCAAACCAATGGGCGAAGTGCAAGAAATGGTTGTCGTTGACGTTCGTTTTCCTGTTGAGAGATTAAACATGTTTCTTTTCTTCTAAATATTAAACAGCTAGATTTATGAACATATTGAAATTTAGAATAAGCACAGTGGCGGAGGCAGCAGTCGGCGGTGCAGCGGAGCGGAACGAGTAGCGGCGCACTTGGTGGATGATTTTGTAATATGGCATTCCTTTTTTTTCAGGCAGTAGTTGTAGTCTTATTGTTATATTAGCATAAAAGCTAACGTATCTTGATAGAGAGATTCATTATTCGTGAACGATCTTTGTTGTTCCTACAGCACAACATGTGAGACAGTATGTCTCACGTGGAAACGATCGGTTATCAGGATACATTAGCTTCGTCGTTTTTCTGCTGATTGCTTAGGTGAACCAGAGAAAATTATAAACCTTCCCGTTACACGGCCGATGAGAGTAACTCAGTAAGGGACCATCCATAAATTACGTCCGCATGGGGGGGGGGTTACTAAGAAACGTCGCAATTTGTAACATATGGGGTACGGGGACTAAGTTCAATCGTAACATCAAATATGTATCGAAATCGGATAGACATTTTCCATCATATTTTAACCCATAATTAGTTTTTTCCTGTTATTATTTTTTTCTTTAAGAGTAATTGATAAAAATATTAGTATTTCAAATCATAGAAACATATTTTAATGTTAGTAAATCTACTTTATGAAATATTAAGTACGGACAGGCTCGACATCAATGCATCAATGACATCTCACGCGGAAGTCTTGAGTTTGAATCTTATCTTTGGACAAGTCACAGCCAGGGTTGTTAATCGTTAACTTCTTCAATGGAAATTTGCATCCAATTGCATTTGGGTTATGACCAGGGTCGTTAATGACCTTAACGTCATTAATGACCCTGATCATAGCCCAAGTTACATTGCAAGTTTTATTAAGGTTTTGAAGCATTCTAAAAGTCTAAATAATGGTCTACGGAACCCTCATAAAACTAAAATTGTTACTGGGGAATGGACTGCAAAATTGGTTAAAGTGTGACTACAGACAAATCTCCATATTTCTATGTGCTGTGTCTCAATTTCTGTAAAGGAATCTAACTCTTGTTACGGTCAAATTCTACATACATATTTACATCCCTCCCTATGTTGATGGGCACAAGAATTCAGAGGTGAAAAATTTGTATAGCAGGGTGCTTTTGAGAAAAAAGTGGTTGAAATCATGCATACCAGAAGTCCTTATCTTGCATCTATTTAAAATGATGTTATCTGTTGATAATTAATTTTGGTAGTTTTTTAAATGAGTTTTAGATTATTAACTTTTTTCACTGTGGATAGATTTTAGTAAATTTTCATTCAAAATACTATATGTATAATGCTTTGACTAGACAAGAAACATTGTAGCACATTTGGATCTTTGTGCTTCAAGAAATATCAATTTAAAAATGGTAGTTAAACGTGCTTAACTTCGTTTAAACTCAGTCAATCAAGCTAAAAACTTTACCAAAAAATCTTGAATATTTGATCCACCAGTTGCCAATATTTCTGAAATTTGCAGCACTTTAAAGTTCTATCGATTGACAAAAAATTATGGCGATTACTTCGATATTTTCGTCATATTCAAGAAGTTCTTCCTGGAAAATTGAACTTTCAGTTGAATTCGACTCAATTTTGAGCTACTCTCATTGACCGTGTATTGACATATGTTCGGTGATGGAATAGTCGAATGAAATATTTTTCCCTGGTCACTTCACTTAATTATATTTGATTTATCTGCATAAATGCAATGTTCTTTACAGGTTTTCACTTTACCTTGAATAATGTTTTTATCGATGATCTCAATTCGTATGTATATCGTATGTTATGGGTGATTATGTAACTATTTTTACTTTTGTATCAAGTCATTTTCATAACATTTAAACGGAAGAAAATACGTAATCTTAAGCAGTCCCTAATGGGTTAAAAAAATAGTTTTCCAAATTCATAGATTAACAGCTATTTTCTTGTTTACCTTCGGATCGTAGTTCATTGTTTAAAGATATGTTCAAAACGTCAACAAGAATATGGAGTGTTCCCCAGATTTGAACTACTATCTCATTGTTGTTATGTTACTCTTCAAGGTTGCAGCCTTTTCGGGTTCAATAATATTTTTTTTAGTTTTACAGGTTTCAACACTCTAGAGTAACATTTGAAATGGGCCTAAGCCCGAAATGTGAGCAAAGCAAAAAAACGATGTGTTTTCATTACTCTTTTTTAAAAACCTATTTAAAAGAATAAACATTTGCAATGATTTTTTCTTCATGAAGTTAATGATTGGTACGCTTTAACATTTTGAGTAAGTATTCACTGATGCATTGGTCCTGGAAAGTATCATGTTCCTTGATTATTTGTTAACGCAGCAATTATGATACTTTGGATAATGAAAGGAATATCTTATTCCTCACATTTCGATGACATTCAAAATTGAAATTCAGGGGAAATAATGGCGCATACAAAAGAAAACCCGAATTCATCCACCTATGGTAAGATCTGACCCTTCTTACTGATTCAAATTCGAAGAAAATGGCTCAAGTCTGCATTTAGGGCAAGATAACTTCTGAATGATATAAGTGGGTCTGTGTCTGAATTTTCATGTGTTTTAATTCATCGCAGGTTTTGTCCAAAGAGTACATGTCCGGGTGTGGCCAATACGAATGATGGCGCACAAATTGGCTGCAAATGATCATAAACTTGAAATTTGATGTGACTTTAGTTTACGTCAGATTCTGACCATATTCCCGGTGGTACCAGGAGCTTTCGTGACCAATGTTACCCTGGGTTCTCAATATTCTTGTTATTGAACTTTCAGACAGTATGATGTGTTAAACGGTTTACTCTGATTAGACTACAATTTTAGACTTCAGAGGAATTACTTATGATAGTTGGTATCCTAGCTAGATTAACGGTCCGACTGCTAATAATCAACACGAAATCTGCAGTCAGACTGATCGATTAATTTTTTAAAATTATTTTGAGTTTATATAATCGATTAAAAATGTGACATCATGATCAATATTTCAATTGACAGAAAGAGATAGGCGCTTGGAGTGACACGAATAATGTAGCATAAACATTACAATTGAACCTACTCTGTCATCCTCATTTTGCAAGCCACAGATGCGTCGCAAGGTAAGTTTAGGCTCCTTTTAAATTCAGGTCATTTCCTGCGGAACTTACGAGGCATGGCCAGGTTTGGCCAATGTGATCCCTAGTACTAAGTATAATCTCCAGAATTTAATTTACTCTTGTGATTTTAAAAGTCGTATGAAAAGTTTTGGTCATTC